GCATGGAAACTTTTGTGGTGCTCTTCATGTCTTACCTACCAGTCCTTGTATACGAAGACTTTGACATTATGTTTATTGTCTCATTAGATTGGGACATATACTCACCAGTTATTCAAACTTGGGATTCCAGCTACTTGGAGCCCCTAGTGTGATGAAGACATCCTCCTCAATCATGGGGTTCAATTCAATCCAAACAATGTACCTACCAAATATGTGACAAAAGAAAAACTCAAGGACCTTGTTATATATTGCACTTAATTAATATCTTAATTATGACTTTAAGAAATGAGAATGAGTCGCATGACACGTATTGCTTAGATCTGACATAGCTAATACAATTTTTGTAAGTTGGATCTTCTTAAAATGATAGATGATATTGGTCACAATGCTGTTGAATGAAATTTAGGGGGTGTTTTCTTGGACAACTAAAGCAATATTACAATGATAATATCAAGTATGTGATTAACCATCACATTGCATGGAATGATGTCAAGTGAGATTTCGTTAAGCTCTTGTTTTGTGTAGATTAAAAGTTTGATAAATATTTCAAATTAAAGTTAATAATTAATCTAACCACACATTTCATGGACTCAGTGTCAATATTATGTGGCCCAATGTTGATCCATCATCATGTCGTGGACAAATGACTCATACTTGCATCTAATAATGAGCCAAGCCAAAATCTATGCATCAACCCAATATATAAAATCTTGAGATCAAACAAGGTGTGAGCTATGTCCTCCACCATTTCACCTGCAATAACATTTAGTCGTTAATGTTAAAGCAAAAAGTGGCGAAATGATAAATAGGGTAACCTTTGATAAGTTCATTGACAATTCACATCCATAGTACAATAGCTATTAAGACACTTTTGGAAAAGTTCAATGATGACTGGAAGAGATTTTAAAGATCAATGGATAAAATATATTTGTGAAAGTTCAATCGAAATTCGGATATTTAACCTTAACTTGTGTCCATACTCTAGTCGCTAAACTATGAAGCTCCAACATAGCCATATGACGGTTGAACACTAGAAGCCAAAACTTTCGTGAGCACTCTTATCCTAGTTTCACTTTAACATATGTATGAAATTCTTAAGACAAGAGTTTGTCCTTCATCAATGTCACATTGGGAAAAAGCAAGGCTACCTCAAAATTAACGATCGACGAAAAAAAACCCAAGTTTCCATGAAAGCAATTCGTGTAAAGTAACACTTGTATTCTAGCTAATTACATTATTAGCTGGCACAAAATGAACTTGGATCTGTAAACCAATCACTTTTATTTATCCTAATTCATCGTACCTGATTTTAACATTTAGATAATAAAACATATCGTTATTAACTCGAACTATCGTTGGAGTATCCTTAAATTCGACACTGACAATGAAATGTTAACAGCGAAATATAGCCCGAGTTTGGTAAAAATCAAAATCAAAATTTTAATTCAAGTAAAAATAAACAATTAATTTTAAATATACATTTCATCGGACCCACAACTTTTTAATCACATATTTAATCAACCTTTTTCAAAATTTT